TTTTTAGGTTGGAGACACTGACTTCGGGACCCTTTCTTCCCCCCATCTCCCCCCAGCAAAGAAATCCTAAAGTTTCCCAAGCGAGTGCAGCCCGAGGGAGGGTTATGTGTGGGCTGCACGCTTGTGCTTTGCATTCGACTTGGATATATATTTAGATTTCTTTAGATTTCTGGTCCCCCCGAGTGAGACCTGCTTTTGCAGCTCCCTGTGCCTTTTCCCGCCCTTTGGAAAAAACCAAAACAACCCACCCTCCCAAAAAAAACCACCGAACCATAAAACCCAACAAAAAACAACACAAGAGCTGCCAAAAAGAATAAGCCCTTGCTGGGTATTGAGAAATGAGAGCTGGTGGAGACTTCTTCACAGGGTGAAGACCTGTCGTACTGACTCTGTTACCCCATGAGGATCCTGCTCCCGCACCTTGGTGGGGTCATTTATAGGTGTGGAGGCTTTGCTGGTGGCAGCGATGGGTCAAGATGTGAGTGTGGTGGTTCAGCTCCAGCTGGGAGTCTCTGCCAAAGCCTTGGCATGAGAAAACCCCCTTGGGTGTGTAGTGCCTTGGGGAAGCTGTGGCTCTTTAGTCTTCACTAAGTTGCTGTTGGTTGTGTTGGTGTCTCGGGTATGCCTGGAGGCAGTAGCAAATGTGTTTCTTGGTTTGGTGGCTGTGGGAGGGTTTGCTTCGTAGTGGTTTAGGCTGGTGGGGTGCATAATGGGAAGGTGGTTTTCTTAGAGGGAAGGGAAGAAGCAGCAAAGATCAGGCATCAGGTAGCTCCTCCATTTCCCAAAGGTCTTGGGTGAGTGACGGGACCTGTCTGCCGCACAGGGAGCAAGGGGCAGGAGCCAGGAATTTCTTCATTAGCATTCGTGTAATTTAGAGATTGAACTCCCTGTGCCTACCCTGACTTCTGCGCTTGATGACCTCCTGGTACCTTCAGCAAAGGGGAAAAAAACTCTGGGAAGGCACAGTGGACCAAGGTGATGAACCACTTGGTGTGGAGAGATGCTAAGAACAAATGATGCCCCTTTTCTTATCTTTCAAGACACTTACATTTTGGTGCCAAAGACATTGGGAAGTGCTGTGGGAGCCACCAAAAGTCACATTGACACAGACCTCATGAAGGATGCTCAAAAGGGAGAGTGAGTGGTTCCCCACCTCTGCAGATGGAAGCAAGGCGTGGTGAAGTGACAGCTGGGGAGATTTGGGGAGGGATGGATATTTCACCCCAGCTTTTGGTCAACACAGAGACAACAAAGAGGCAACAAAAACTTCAATAGTGGGAATGAGGACATGGCCATGAGCATAGCTGATGTTGAAACCATCGCTCCCCTCATCCTGGTGCTCAGGATGGCTTCCCTCCCTCCCCGCCCCAACCCGCCCCATGCTCAGAAGGAGCTGGCACATGAAATGGCAGGTCTGGTAACAAGTATTTTTAACAACTCCATCGAGTTGGGGGAGGCACCATCTGACTGGAGAATAGCGAATGCGATGCCTATATTTAAAAGCGGAGGGGGGAAGGGAAAAAAAGTAAGGCAGGCAGGAATAGGACTGTAAGCCTGACCTCAATTGCATGCCATTTTGGAACAGATTTGGAAGGCAAAAGAGGGAAATGAATCATGGGTTTTGCCAAAGGTAGGTCACTCCAGGCTAACCTGGCATCAGAGACCTGGAAACGTGTAGAGCTGCTCTTTGTAGTAAAGCTTTTGCTCTGGGAAAGTGTTAATGAAGCAGAGAAAGAGGGGAAGGAGAAAGAGGAGCTCTGCAAGGCTGGCAGGGATGGCGCTGGGTGGTGTTGAGGGGACGTCGTGGTTGATGGTGACCGGCTGGGCTCCTCAGGGATGAGTCAGGGCTTTCCTGCTCCCAGCGTTGGTGGCTTCCCAGAGCTGGGGGGGTACAGAGGCTGCTGGAGGAGTTTGAGGGGTGGAGGAAAAGATGTGGGATGCAGTGAGAAATGGAAAGCCATGTGCTTGTTGAGGAACAGCAAAGATATCTCCTAGGAGCCCGGGTCTTTCTGATTGGGAAGTAGCAGTGTGGAGGAGGAGGAGGGGATGAGAAAGTGAGTGCAGGATGGAGGGACCATCATCTCTTGCAAGGATGGGTTGGGATCCATCAGAATCACTCATTCAGGTCACCTGTGTCCGGGGAAGATGTACTGAGCCTGAACTGGAGCGGGGTAAAATAGGGAGAGCCAGTCATGCAAGAGAGAACTGGAGGAACCTTGCTTTGGCTGGGAAAGCAGAGGCTGGGGAGGGCCACCGTTACTATCTATAAATACATCGGGATGGGAAATGGGAAAGAGAAGAGCTATTTCAGCCAAAGGCCAAATCTGGCAAAAGAACAGAGTGGTGTATAAAATAACCACGATCAAGTGTAGGCTGAAAATCAGAGCAGCAGTTTGAGCATCTGGCTAAGGAGCCTTCCAGTGGGAATAGTGAGTTTTTAAGGTGGGCTTGACAAAATCTGGGGGAGACTTCATGACGTGAGGAGATTTGGACTCGGCAACTCTGTGAGACCCTGACAGTCCGTGTCCTTCCCTCCAGGCAAACCAGCTGGCCTCCAGCTGGGGAGCACGGTGTGTGTCAGAGTATCGGGGTTGGTGGGACACATGGATGGGCAGGGCAGTCCCTTTGGCTTCCTGGGCAGACGTGCTTCAGCTTTGGGAGTGGAAAGATGAGAATATGTCCACTTCTGTGTTTGTGCACACACACACACACTCTTCTGTGTGCCAGCGTCCTGCTCTGGATGCTTTGTGGTCATGCTCTCTGCCACGGGCTAGAGAAGCAGTGGAAGGTGCAGAGCCTGTGAAATGCCAAGCCCCTCATGTTTCCCAAACAAGTCCCCTCATCTTCTCCCTCCCCAGCTGGGACCTCTGCACCCTTAGGTGCTGCTAAGGTACTGGAACAACTCTTGAGCTGGTGATGCTGGAAACGTAACCCCCTAAACCTCCTAAAATCTAATCCCCTTTACCTCCAACCCCATGGGAGCCAGGTACCAGAACACACATAGAGGTTGAAATTGCTGGCAGCCCGTCCCATGGAGGGTACTGTCCATCCCCTGCCTCAAATTTCCCGGCTGCAGGTCCTCACTGCCACCAGCTTTGTTGTGCCTGCAAAAATGGAGTGGGGAGAAGTGGTCTGGGCACTGCTGCTGGCATGGCTGGCTGATAACCCTGGGTAAATTGCCCTCTGCTCCATCATCTCATTGCCATCTCCTCCTCCATCTCCTGCTGAGGAGAAAAGACCAAAGAAGGGGTGATGATGGCAGAGCTCTGGGGGAAGATGTCTTGTTCACCTGTAGGAAAGGATCTCATCTATTTTGCATCCCCTGTGCCAAGGACCTTGGGGAAAGCCTGTGTATTTTGGGCAGGAGCCAGTTTCAAAGACAAGTGATCCTGGCATGAGTGGCTGGCACCCAATGGCATCTTGGCAGGGAGCTGAAGCCCGGCCAAGCTTGAGCTGAGGGGCGCACAATGCCTTGAAGACTAATGGCACGGCAAATGGTGCTGCTGGAGCAGAGTGCAGTGGCCTGGATACCCCTTGCATCATTCCCACCTCCCTGCATTCACTTCTCCCTTGGCCCTGAGAAAAGGGGCTGGTGATTGGTGCTGCTGGAGCAGAGTGCAGTGGCCTGGGTGCCCCTTGCATCATTCCCACCTCCCTGCACTCGCTTCTCCCATGGCCCTGAGAAAAGGGGCTGGTGAGGGACCAGGGCCCTTGAAAGGTGTAGGACCTTGAGAAGATGTGTGTGGTTTCCCCAGTGCTGAAGAAGGAGGGTGATGAGTCTTTACAGATGTTTTCCTGAGCCTCAAAGCCCTTATTGCTGCTCTGTCTCAGGTGCTGAGGTCTCTGACTGTAACATCCCCCTTCCCAGAGCTATGCTCAGTGTCTGCAGCAGGACGAGCTGGCATCACCCTTCCTGCCTTGGGCTCAGTGTCAGGGTGGTGGGGACACCCAGCTGAGGTTTCTGCTGGTGCCTGGGTCACTGGAGGAAGGCTCCATCGTGGTGGCTTTCTCTCCCCCTGGGAGATGTGCTTCTTCTCTTGCAGAGCCTTATCTCGGCTCCTGCACTGGCCGACCGGGAGACGTGGTGCCAATGAGTCAGACGAAGATGAGGGCTTAATTAGCATGGGGAGAGGGGGGAAGAGAGAGAAAAAGAGAAAGAGCCTTTCTTTGCAATAAGATTGATACCACCTCCCCCAGACAGTCACGTTCTGCCGCATCACCCTCCAGCCCGGCGTCATGTGCACCGTGCCTGACACCAGAGGACAAATGGGGCCTGAGAAGCGGCTGCGAGGTACAGAGGGGCACTGCTTTATTAAAAGCTGTGGTGAATAAATGTCTGGAGGTATCGAGCAGGGCTTGTCAGCAGCCTTTTTAACTGCCCTGCCTTGCCCCTGGATTAGAGCTCCTCTCAGCTTCTTGGGGTTGGGGTAATGCACCTGGGGTGGGAGAGCATCTGCAAGGTACGAGTGATGATACTGTCAAAAAAATGCCCTTCTGAAGGTGTGGGGCTTGTCCATACCAGTCCCTTCCCTGCTGTGCGTGGAAGGACAAGCTGCTGGCTGCCTCTTCTTTAGCCGCCAGCTTCCCCAGCCCTAAGGCACATGGTAAATCTTTCCTTCCTAACCTGTGCTGTGCCCTTCAGGCACTGCTGCTGCGGGGCTGCTGCGCCCTGTCTTGGTGGGATGCGCTGGGCAGCAAATGAATCAAGAGGCTAAGGGAGGCATGCTCAGGGTGGCCCCCATGACCTCAGAACCCCGATTTTGGGATGCAGGGCCCTGCACCCCCTGTTTATACTACTGTCTTACAGCCCCTGCATCCCTGCAGGGATGAGAGGAAGAGGAGAGCAGTCCTGACCGATGAGACTGTGGAGGAGAGCATGGCTGGGGTAGGGTGCCGAGGGGCATCAGGGCATCGCTGGTTGCTGAAGCTAATGCACCCTCCGTCTGCTCTGGGTGCTGCTGTTGAAGATTACATCACATGTGTTTGTTTTTCCCCTCCAGACCAATGATGCCTTAGGAGCCACCTGGAACTGGCTATACTTCATCCCCCTCATCATCATTGGATCCTTCTTTGTCCTCAACCTTGTCCTGGGAGTGCTGTCAGGGTAAGATGCTGTCCTTCCCCTTTGGGCCATGCCCATTGCATGTCTCTGAGCCCTGAGGTTGTCCTCTGGTACTGTGGTGCCCCCCAGGACTCCAGTAGCTGGTGCCCCCCCTCCCCTTCATGCCTGCCTGCCCCACAGCAAGGAGATCGCTCCCTGGCTCTGCTTAGCTCCTTCATTCTCTGGGGAGCAAGGAGAGGTGTGATGTTGAAGATACTTTCTTGTTGTTCCACCGTGGTTTTGGTCACGTGTGCGAAGTGGTCAGTGTTGATCTTCTGGCTGTTTGGGTCCTGCTGGAGGGGAGAGTTGTGGCAAGGGAAATATATCAGAGCCCGGGATGTGTTTGTAGCCAAGTGCATGTTTTCTTGCTGATGGAGCGTGATGGGTGTGGGTTGGGATGGGTTCGGGAGCAACATGGGGAACCTCAGTGCTGTAGGGGTCATGGCTGGGAGGACGACCCCGGCACTGGTGGGGAGATGTTCACTGGTGAGGGTAGGGCACCCAGGGTGCTTGTGGACAAGCCAGGGTTGTAGAGGCAATGCAACTGTCCTTGTTCTGCTCCTCCCAGGGGAAAGGAGGTTTTAATCCAAGCTATTAAGCTGGGTCTGGAGAGAAAAAGGCTTCTTGTCTCCATGACAATGAACTGTGGTTGCATCAGCTCAACCGCTGGCAGGCGTTGGTGCATGGGGAGAGCTTGTTGCCTTCTGCACTGGGAGGGGGATGTGGGCTCCCCTGCCCTTGCCACACCTGACAGCAGGGACACAGTGCCCAGCAGCAGGTCATTTTTTTCCTGATTGCCCATCATAGGGGAAAAAAAAAGGAAGAAGAAGAAAAAAAAAAGCACCGCTGTAGCACTGGTTTGACCAGCTGAAAAACTTTTAGATGTAGGGATCAGTGTGGAGACTGGCCCTGGTCATCTTTGTCACCATCCCATGTGTCCCTGTGAGTTCAGGTGTGATGGTGGTGGTTTTAGGCTGGGCTTTCAGGGTCTGTTGGTGGATTGGATTTCCCCAGGTCTCAGTCTGGGGTCTCACTGAGGCCAGGGACTCTGGTGACAGGCTGCAGGAGGGGCTTCACACTGCCTTGCATGGGTGGAGCACTTACAGAGGATGAAGATGTTTGGGCAGTGTTGAGTGGCTTTTGTATTTCTTATGTCATATCCAGCCTGAATCCAGCTGTATGTCAGCAGCAAGCAGGAGCTTTCCCATAAAAGCCCAGAGAAGGAAGACTGGGAAGCTTGGGGCTAGACAGCTGGAAAAGCCTCATATTGCAGTGTTGAATCGTGCCAACATAGTGCGTTGTGTGGACACTGAGGTTTTTGATGCTGGTGCGATGCTGAGAGCAGCCAGCCGCTGGCCAGAGGACCACAGGGTGCTTGGTGGGATGCCCGGCCCATGTTCTGGTCCGTGTCTGGTGCTTTGTCTGCGCCGGGACTGCACGAGGCAGCTGCTCCTGCGCCCGCCGAATTGGATGCAGTTGTCTAGGGTTCTTCCCAGGCGCCGGCTGGCATTTCGACTGTTTATTTATCGCTAATAGGGTTTGTATTGGGGAAGGATACAAGTGGTGGGTGGCCTAATTGGCAATGGAGATGCTCTCGTGGCGTGCCAGATACCTAGGGAAAAGCGCGACTGCTCAGCTCCCCGGAGGGCTGAGCGAGGTGAGCGGAGGTGGCGAGCTGGGCTCTGCCACCTGATGGCGAGGCCAGAGCACGTGTCCTTCTGCCTGGCCACGGCCACTGGCATTCCCCAGTAGCTCAGTTGATGCAGGACCTGGGCGGTGGTGAAGCATCCTCTTACCAAAGCTGCCACCAGAGCCGCAGAGCGAGAAGGTACTTCAGCACGCAAACAATGTGTGTCCTTGAATGCAATAAGAAAGCCTTCATTCCTCGCTTGGCTTTTATGTTTTTTTAATGCTTCTCACAATCCTCTTGTGCCGGAAGAGAGCACTTGGCTCTGCTGTGGGAGGGGAAGGGTGAACTTTGCATCTCCCAGCCTCTGAGCTGGATGAGCAGGCAGGGTCTGGCCAGATTCCCTGCACACTGAGCTGCGGGAAGTTCACTTTGGGGATGAGCTCTATGGAAACACCTGCAGGAGTAGGGAACCTTTCCCTGGCTTTACAGCGCTGCTTTGGGGAGAAGATGGGCAGGTGTGCCCAGTTAGCTGAAACCACGGTCGCTCTGTTAGCTCAGGGTGGCGTGGCTAGCCCTGGGAGCCTGCTTGCAGAAACCTGGACCCACGTTGCTTGCAAACTGCACCATCTGCACCAGTGAATAACAAGGTCCACTTGGCGTTTCCAGACTTCTCAGAGTTCACTCTCATGAGCTGCTGCAGAGCTGCCTCTCTGCCTTCCTTTGTCTCAGCAGCGGTTCTCTGCGGGGGAAACAATCGAACGCCCGAGGCTGGTTGTGAATGTGAAGGGGCTGCAGGAGGACATTTGTATGTTTAACTTGCCACCATCAGAAGTTTGCCGGAGCCCAGATTTAGCAATCTTCTGGTTGCGATGCGCATCTCTCCCAACAGTCAGTTCGCCAACTGTTAAGCTAAGGCATGACCTCCGTGATGTAAACAGCCTGGATCCATCTGCTCCTAAGCACAAAGTACGTGGGAGAGGAAAAGAAATGATTTCCATCATACCAAGGCTCCTCGATTTTTCTCTCTAAATACTAACACGCGTACATACACTGGAACTGCATGCAACGCTATTAAGAGGAGATGGAGTCGCTCCAGGCAGGGGCTTGGAGAGCCAGTTCTTCTGGGGCTTTGGCATTTATTACTGTGTCTATTAACTTTCCCCCTCTATGGGTGCAATTACGGATCAATTAATTCTAACTGAAAGTAGGCAAGGAAAAAAAAAAAAATTGGCCCCGTTCCTCTTTGAGAGCAGGTACGAAGCCCAAGGAGATGTGACTGCTCAGCTTTTAAAGCTACACGAGCTACCAAAATAATCCTGGCAGAGGAGAGTCAGTGGGAGCGAGTGAGGATGGAGCATCAGCTGAAACGCCTTGTTTTCTGCCACGTGGCAGCTGGTGGGTTGGAGAGCCGGGGAAGATGCTGAGACTCATAGCAAGCGTTGCCGGCTGCCGTCCTGTGGCGTGAGGTTGGTGGGGCAGGGTGTACCTCCAGCTCTGCCCCTCTTCCAGGGCAGACCTGCTGTAGTTCTCTGCGGGATGGAGTAGGAGGGGTGGACGGGACCTCCTCCCACCCTGCAACTGATAGTCCGTGGTGAGCAGAGCCCTGCGGTCTGTCGGCTTTGAGTCGGGGGAATGCGTGTTGCACACGCCCCATACCAAAGATCTGCAAAGTTCTGTTCTCCATTCTTCGTGAAATGTTTTGTTTTGTGTGGGTTTTTTTGTTCGTTTCTTTTTCTTTCTTGTTCAGTTGTTTCTCATGTGAAACAATCTGAATCTGTGTGTTCACGCTACATCTCCGAGAGCAGACGAGAACCGTGCTGGCCCGTGCCCACTGCCTGTGGCGCCCGCGGTGCCGCGGCAGCAGCGATGCCACCCCAGTGACGAGCACAGCTCACCTGTCCTAGCCCCGCTGCAGAGCTCCTGTCTGCTTTGCTCCTCCTGGCGGGAAGGTGGCTTAAGTCTAGCTTGTCACTGGGAGCAAGAAGATAAAAGAATGAAGAGATAAAAACAAGCCATGCTTGGAGGCATAGTGTTGAGGACTCATGCAGAGTTTCTGATAGCAGACGGGCTGTGTTTTGACTTTTCCACCTCCTTTTCTGCAGCCCCTGCAGCAAAGCACTCCTCCGTTCCTGGTAGCACCTGTCCTTTTGTTGAGGTAGCTGTGGTGGACTCCTTTCCCCTATCCAATCTTGTACTTCTAGCCCCTTTCCAGGGTGACAGAGCTGCTACAGTCACCAGTATTCATGGTCCACAGCAATAGCCCAGTGGCTGCAGAGTGGAAGGGGACGTTGCCTGGCCTGGGAAGGCCGGGTCCTCAAGTCTGCCAAGAGAAGAAGACCTCTGGAAGCTGCTGGCAGAGCAAGAAATGGAGCACAATGGCAAGAAAAATGAAATCCATCTGCCTTGTACCAAACAAGAGAGTAATTTAAATCCTCCTAATTGCTTCCACTCATCCTGGTGATGTTAAGTCTTTTCTTTCTCCCTCTAAGTCTTTTCTGCCCCCCACCCCCAGCTCTTGCACTAAGCCTTTGAAAGAAACGACTAATGTTATAATTAAAGGATCAATTTGGCAAGATTTCTTTGTCTTAAGATCTTCTTTCTTTCAGGTTGGGTTAGCTCTGCGTTCCTAGTCTCGAGAGAGTTTTCTTGAGCTCCTTCAGGAGCCTTCTGTACCATCTCTGAAATCCTTTCACTTCACTTAATTTGATTTTTTTTTTTCTCATCCAAATTTTGAGGCATAACAAACGATGAATAAAATTAAGTTTTACAGCAATTAATAATAAGGACATTGAAGGAACGATTGTACATTTTCAGTGCAGGCAGTTGGGAGTTTCTTTGCTGGCTCTACACAAAACCTGGGCCCATATGTTTGAGCTGAATCAAGGTGATTTGAAGCCAGAGAGACCAGAAAGAGGATTAATGTTTTGGCGGTAGGCGGTTTGTGGAGGGGAAGGCGAGGAGACGTATCACCACAATGCAGGAAGGCTTGTGGGGAGATGGTGAGGGATTGCAAGATGCCAGCAAACATGCCTGAGAAATATTGCATCGAAAGTATGAAAGCTTGGAAGCATCATTGGTTTGTTGTTCATTTGTTTTGATTTTTTTTTCTAATGGTTGTTCTGGATCCAGCCCAGCAAACTCTTAGGGGTCTGCTTCTTCGTATCATCATCACCTTCATCCTCCCACACTGACATGGAAATGGAGTAGTGGAGGATAAGGGTCCAAATCAGACTAAAGATCAACTTCAAATTTCCATCAACTGTGGCTTTACTGTCAATGGAGACCACCTTCACGACCTCCTGCTGCAGGGAGCGGCTCGGATGAGGTGTGAAAAGGCTGCGTCCATTGTGTGCTTGGGCATTCACAAGCTGGA